AAAGTTAAGTAGAGAGTGTTTCCTGGATGGTTGGATATGGTGGATGAAGCAAAGAGAGGAGTTCAAGATAACTCCAGGAGTTTGGCCTGAGCAACTGGAAAGGTGTATGTGCCATGGCTGACACAGGGAGGGTGGGAGGGAGCCGGTTGGGGAGAAAAGTAATTAAGAGGTGCGTTATGACGGCGTTCATTGTGAAACGCCATGGTGGTGTCAGTTAGGTATTTGGATATTTCGCCATCATCCGTGCTCTGCCTTCATGGGCCATTGGAACAGTTATTTACATAATTCTTTTCTTTAAATCAACCTTAAATCGGCTCTCATTTTTCTTTAGCTCCATGCTAAGGATTAATATCCATAACATCAAGTGTTTTGTGGGTTAGTAGCATTTTTTCTGAATACAGATTAAAATAATAACCACCAGGTCCCCTTGCAGTTCAACCCTGACATTTCCTCCATACCCAGCCAAGTCTGGGCATCTAGCATACACAGACTTGAACTGAGCCATTTGGCTTTGACACGCAGGAACATCTGAGGGCATTTGAAGGGATCACAGCAGGGCATTCGGGAGACAGACGTGGTCCCACAGCTCAGTGAGGCTCTGTAAGTAGCCACCGAACTGCCTCCACAGGTCCTTCTCAGCCCTCTGCTTGGGGATGGGGGGTTCACAGAGCAGAGCCCACCATCCTTTCCTTAGGTCCAAGCGCCCTCTGGTGGCCGGGTTCCGGTGCACCGGTGCACTGGGGGCTCCCCAGCTCCTGTTTCTGGAAGAGGGGGACCCTCTGCCTTGGCCTCTCCCTGGAGAAAGGGGCAAGAGGTCAGACTAGCTTTAGGCTCCAGACTGAGGGACAGATAGATGGTGCTGAGTCTGGGACTCAGGCGGGGCCAAGGTGGGGCCGGCAGTCTGCAAGCCAGGCAGGAGCCACCAAGGGTCAGACCGAAAGGGGAGGGAAAGTGGTGGGTGGGAGAAAGGGCTCTTGTTTCCTATAGAAGTTCACCAATGCAGAGAAATGCAACTTGATTACCATATACAAATAGGGCAATTTACCTTCGGTGGGTATTTTCAGAGGAAAAGAAAAAGTATTCCAATGTAACCATTTTTAAATTAAGAGCAGGGAACATTAGACTGTGCTGAATAAATACTATGACCGGTAATGGAAAATGTACTTCTTATATTACAGCCAGTTACGGGAGAGAAGCGGGTTGGCGGCCAGTGACAAGAGGGAGAGAGTCATGCTCTTGCCGAGAGAGACACTGAGGAGGTGGCTGGACAGGCTGACGGAGGGTGCAGAGATAAGCACTGTCTGCTTAGGGTGACACCCATGTGCTCACTCAGGCCTCCACGCTGCATCCACACAGGGGTTAACATTGGTGCACGCACACACGCATTCACACACTCACAGATATTCCTGCTGTTACTCCTTCATCCTCTTCTCAATGAACAAACTGTGCTTAGATGAGAAGAGACCAATGGCCAAACAGAGACTGGCAGTCCAGTGTGCAGGGGAGTCTCGCATAGAAGGCTGTGGTGGGGCTGAGGGAAGGAAGAACTGAGTCTTAGAGGAAGAAAAGGCAGAAAAGAATGATCCATGCAGAGGGAACAGCATGAGGAAAATCCTAGAAGCCTAAGAGAACACAGGCATTCGAGGCACCACAAAAAATTAGCGGTGACTGAACTCGAGGATGTCTGGGGAAAGGGAAGCCAAGGAGAGAGTGGGAGCTGAGAACCCTAAAGTCTGCGTCTCAAACCGGTGGGCTCCCCATGTGACCCAGGTGTGTCACCTGCTTTGCCCTGGGGAAAACCAGATCCAAGATACAATGTTCACCTGACTGATGTGGACTAAAAGTCATGTACCCGTTGGTGCTGGACTGAGGGTGAACCAGGCTCCAGGGAGAAATGCTGCAGATTTCTTGCTGAAACCAGGGCAACATTCTTCAATGCAGTCAGCCCTCTGCCTCTGGGCCCAGTGCCATCCTAGGGCTACAAAACTAACATCTACTTGCGGTTCTAGCACATGGTGGAAACTGACGTCCTTAGCGCAGCCTTAGCCATGAGAGTCTGGGCAAGCAGCTGGCTGGTCTCCAAGGCTTCTACCTCTTAGTGGCTTAGCCTCTCTGGAAGTGAAGGAGATTAAAGCCTTTTCTTCCAGTCCCATACCAAAAGGGAGGGCATACACAGAACACTGGCCTATCACGAATGCTGCCTCCCTACCTCTGCCACTCTCAGGGATCAGGGCCTAGGCATGGGTAATGTTCCAGATCTCTCCAAGTAAGTCTTCCCCTGATTGAGATTTATTACTACAAGCTAGGGAAGAGGCCAAGAAATTACATTAAATTTAAAAAGAAGTCTGGCTAGAAGAATGAATCCCAATAAAAATGAATGGTGACACCAAAACTCAGGCAACAAAAGAAATAAATAAATAAACTGGACTACAACAAAATTAGAATTTTCTGTGCATCAAAGGACACGATCAGCAGACTGAAAATGCAACCTATGGAATGGGGAGAATTTGCAAATAATATGTCTGTTTTGGGTTAATTTCCAGAATATATAAAGAACTCCTACAACTCAACAACTACAAAAAACAAATAATCCAATTGAAAATTGAGCAAAGAACTAAATAGACATTTCTCTAAAGAAGACAAACAAATGGCCAACAAGCATACAAAGAGATGCTCAACATCAATAATCATCAGGGAAATGTATCTCAAAACTGCAAAGAGATACCACCTCACACCCATTAAGATGACTACTGTCCAAAAAATGCAGAAAACAACAAGTGTTGGTGAGAGTGTGAAGAAATGGAACCCTTGTACACTGTTAGTGGGAATGTAAAATGGTGTAGTCACTGTGGAAGACAGTGTGGCGTTTCCTCAAAAAGTCAAAAATAGAATTGCTGTATGCTGCAGGAAATTGAACAGACATTTGTACGCTCATGTGCATAGCAGCATTATTCATAGTAGCCAAATGATGGAAATAACCCAAGTGTCCATTGTCAGATGAGTAGATGAACAAAATGTGGTCTATCCATACAATGGAATATTATTCAGCCTTAAAAACGAAGAAAATTCTGACACCTTTTACAACACGATGAACTTTGAGGACATTATGCTAAGTGAAATCAGACAGTCACAAAAGGACCAATACTGTAGGATTCCACTTATATAACATATCTAGAGATAAAAGGTAGGATGGTGATTGCCAGGGCTGGAGGGAGGGAGACCGAGGAGTTGTTACTTAATGGGGACAGAATTTCAGTTTCACAGTTTGAAGAGTTCTGCAGATTGGCTGCACAACCATGTAAATGCACTTAACACTACCAAACCGTGCATTTTAAAAATATTTAAGATAGTAAATTTTATGTGTGCTGAACCACAATTAGTAGAGCGATAGAGAGAGAGAGAGAACTGGTATGCACAAAGGCATCTGAGTCTGCACCTAGATATTCCTGCCCACTAATTAGCACTTGTCCTTGGGGTTCCTGACCATCTGGTGGTACCCACTCAAGTATCTGAGCCTTCAGGAGATCCTCCCCAAATCCGCAGACATAGCCGGCGCTTCTGTAAAGACATGGCTTCTGGCAAATGGAAGCATAGGAGTTTTGGTGTGTTCACTTATTGTCCCAGTGAATAAACATTCTCCAAATTCCTCCTCTGTGCCAGGCATGTCTCCAAGGCTACAGACAGAGCAGTGAAGGAGACTGCCTTGGCCCTGCCCTCAAAGAGCCCACAGTCTGGAAACTGGATCCATCAAAATGGACCACCCAGTGTGATAAAGAGCCAGGACAGAGACGCCTAGAGAGGGGGTGATTGATGGCCTAGTGTGGGAGCCAGTTCAGTCAAGGGAGCCTTCTCCAACAAGTTGTTACCTGAGCTGAGTCCAGAAGGACCAGTAGGGCTTAGGCAGGCAGCAGAAGGCAGCAGAGGGGATTCCAGGCAGAGTGGGTCCTGGGTAAGGGAAAAAGAGAAATATGGGGAAAAGAGAGGGGTTGAGGTAAGAAGGGAGAGAATGTCAGCAGCGTGGAGCAATAACCACAAATAGTTCAAAGGAATTTATTAACTCGTAAGTGTCTCTACTGCAGATGTTAACTTGAAGAGTCATCCACCCACCACCAGCCTCAGGGCCTCTTCAGAAATGCTCTGCATAGAGATGATGGTCAGAGCTCCTGCCCACCACCTTCTCCAGCATTGCCCGCTGGCCCACTGCTAGTTCCTCACTCCCTGCTCTGGAATGGACTCGAGGCCAGGAGCATCATCATCCCCCTGGTCTAGAGAAGACCTCAGGGGTCGCAGTCCTGGTTGGCAGACAGGCAGACGGATCAACAGAGCAGGACGTGGAGTGAGCACCTCCTACCTGCCCCCTCCATACTTTTGTCTGCCTTGGAAGACAGGCACTGAGACCAGTGCTAAGTGTCTGCCGCCAGTGCTTGAACTACATACTCATGCAGGGAAATGGAGATATTCAGAAGACATATTAGAAAAGAACCAAGTGAACTGTATATAAAATAGATAACCAACAATAACCTGCTGTAGAGCACAGGGAACTCTACTCAATACTCTGTAATGGCCTATATGGGAAAAGAACCTAAAAAAGAGTCGATATATGTATAACTGACGCCTGAAACTAACACAACATTGTAAATCAACTATATTCCAGTAAAAATTTAAAAAGAAATTTTTTGAAAAGGAAAAGAACAAAGTGGGAGGTGACTAGGTACAAAGGAGCCCAGAGAGATGCTGCTCTCCTCTTCCTTCCTTAAACTTGGACAGGCTGAAGCTTCTGGAAGCCAAGCCAAACACGGTCTGCACTCTGCACAAGATGGGCTGTTAGTTGGACTTGGAGAAGGGCTTCTGGATGATTGAGTCAAAAACCTGCTGACAGAGAGGCTTCTGGGAGAAATCAAGGGGACATGGGGGTGATGCATATATATGTGGGGACCTACACAGCTCTTCTAGCCCCCGGGGTCAAGGCCAAGGCTGCAGAGGCAGCTGGGCCCAGGGCATTATGGCTTCTCAGCAGCAGCTGGCTTGGGGCTATTCATTCCATCTGACAGGTAGGTAGTCGTCCTCATTATTCTGCTTCGTCTTGGTTTCCAAAACCGTGATGCGCTGCTTGAGCTTCTGCTGGGCCCCTGTGTACTCAGCCAGCAGGCAGGCAAAGCGAGTGTACAAGGTCTCCATGTTGGTTTCCAGCTGTTCTAGCTTCTCCTGCACATCTGCCTCGATGCTGGCTGCCACCTCATTCTCATCCAGCAATCCCTCCTTCATCAAGATCTCCCAGCCTCTCTCCTCCAAGACCCTCTTGGCATCAGGGTCCTCCATCACAGCTTCCATAGGTCATCCTTGGACAAGCAGAAGAGATCTGAGTAGCCAAGGCCTGGAACTCAGCCCGGGTGACGTTCATGTCGGAGATCATGGAGCCCACGTTTCCCACGATGGTGGCAAAGATGAGGACACCAATCAGGAAATCAAAGATGACAGATAGGTACTCCTCATCTTTTACAGGGGGTGGTGTCTCCCCAATGGTGGTGAGGGTCAGTGTAGACCAGTAAAGGCAATAGATGTATTCCCTAGACAGGTAGCCATACTCAGGGTCAGTGATGTTGGGGTAAACCCAGGTGTCGACCCCAAAACCAATGGACTTGGAGATGGCGTAGTAGATGCAGGCATTCCAGTGGATGATGACCAAGATGAAGAGGACCAGGTTGCTGATGTGGAAGATGTTGGGGTGGCTGGTGCGTGTCTCAGTGTGGTCAAAGAACTCAAACATGCGGGCAAAGTGTAGCAGGCGGTTGAAGCGCAGCTCAGGGCTGTGGATGCCCACAGCAAAATAGATCAGGTCTGTAGGGATGATGGAAGCCACATCCAGCTTGAACTACAGGATGTGGATGTAGTTGTCCCGCAACATCTTGGTATCTTTGACCAGCAGCCCCTGCTCCAGGAAACCTGATGGAGACACAGCCAACATATCACCTCTGCCTTCAGGCCTGTCCCCCCTGGTAGACTAGTGTCCAGCAAGGGACAAAGTGATCACTCGACTCTCTTTCCCAAGGAGGGGCATAGGAGACTCAGAGCCTGGCTGGCCGTAAGTACCCTAAGAGATCACCCCCAAGTCACCACCAGCCTGTGTCCCAGACAAACATTTGAGGCTAGCACCGTGCCAAGAGGGCTTCCTGAGAATGTGGATCCAAGCCTTTGGTCTCATGGGCCATGGTCCTGCCTGCACATCCCAGTTATCCACTCACCCGTGCGCAATCGGATGAAGAGGTCTGCGATGTAGACCACATCTGAGAAGTAGTCCAGCACCAGCCACACTATGTAGTAATCTTTCTGTAGGTCACTGAAGCAGGCTCTTCAGGAAGACAGGGCTGGGCTTCACCATAAAGCTAGCCAAGGCCCCCTGAAGTCCCCAAACTCTTTGCCCACTGTGAGCAGGGCTTGGGGTGGCCACCAGAGGCGCTGATGAATCAGTCAGTCTGCTGCCAAGAAGACGTTCACAAGCAAGTACTACTCCAACCCTTATTATTATGTAGACATCACTACTGACGATTACTTGTCTGTCTCACCCACTGGACTATGAGCTCCAAGAAGACAGAGGCCACCGCCTCTTAGTCATTACTGCATGCCCCATATCTTAGCCCAGAGTACATCTTAGCCCAGGATTCAAGTGCTCAACAAGAGTGAGTTGACTGAAAAATGAGTTGTTGGAAGAATGCACACAATACACAGCTGAATAGCTTCCATGCTCGGCTCTTCAACACACACCTATTGAGAACCCAACGCAGAGTACTGGCCAACCCAGATGAGAGAGAGAGCAGTAGCTGGGCTTAGACTCGAAGCAGTGGGAATGAAGAGAGGTTGGAGATGGCAGGAGAGCTTTAGGAGGAATTGACGAGACTTGGTGACTGGATGGGTAGGGGCCTCGGGAGAGGGCAGAAGAAGGGACAGAACCCTGGATGATGACTCAGTGAGCATACAAGTCAAGGGAGGAGCACTGAGCTCTGACTACTTGGTTACACTTAGAATAAAACCCAGCCCCCTCCCCTGGCACACAAAGCCTGTCTGATGCTTCACCTGCAGTCCTCCAGCCACACTAGGCCATCCTGAAACAGGGGCTTGGCACCTTGCTGTTCCCTCCTCCCAGAATGTTCCCTCCACCAACCTGAAGCATCTAAATAGCCGACTTCCTCTCGTCACTCAGGTCTCAGCCAAGGTACCACCTCCTCAGAGAAGTCCACCCTGAATGCCCTTTCTCTAGTAGCTCCCTGCCTCTGGTCCCTGGACTCATCTCGGGCATTGGTTTGTTCATGTTCACTGTCAGTGTCCCCCACTAGCCTGAGAGCTCCAGGAGCGCAGAGACCACGTGTGTCTTTTTCACCGCATTGTCCCCAGCCCTGAGCACTAGGCCTAACACCCAGTAGGTGCTCAGTCAAATCCTTGCTGAATGAATGACTGAGGTAGGGGATGGGGGGGGCAACACTATCAGGAAAAGCTACATGTGGAGAATGACTTCAGAACTGAGACTGCAAGAAGAATCTCCATAGGTTGAAAATGGGGAAAGGGAATTTTCTCTTGAGGAAACAGCATGTTCTGATCCAAGAATAGTGAGTGCTGGGGCTGGGGTATGTCCAGAAGGTGGAGCTAGAGAGAAAGGCCAGGTCCAGAGGGCCTTGAAGGCCACGCTGAGCGCTTGAACTTCATCCTGTGGGCAATGAGGGACCATTGAGAGGTTTGTGAGGAAGGCCTGACATCATCAAATCCCAGTTTCTATCAATCATGCTAGTTGCAAGTGTGGAAGATGCATTAGAGAGGGCAAGAGTGTCTGTAAGGAATGGCTGCAGGGCTTTTGTACTTGTCCCAGGGAGAGAGGGGGGCCGGCCTCACCTAGGACAGTATCGGTGTGGATGAGGAAGTAGGAGGAGATTACAGACACCAGGAAAAGGATAGACATGAAGCTTTTGGCAGCATATTAAATCGGGTTGGGGTTGAAGGAGCTGGGGGTTAATAGGGAAGAGGGAGGGGCCACTGGCAAGCAGGGAATCCAGAAAGAGGGATGGGTTGGGGTGAGCTCTGTGTCCACAACTGGGACTGGGTTGCTTTGGCCACACCCTCCCAGACCACCCCCTGCTCACCTGGCCACCAGAAGGCACCAGTTGTAGAGGACAGGCATGGCGATGACAAATAGTTCACATTTCTTCCTGAGGAGACAGAGGCCAGGCTTGGGAACTGGCTCCCCAGTGTGGCCCCAGCCCAGCTTCCAGTAGCCAGGGGACCCTGAAAAAGCAACACCTAAGGGTATATGTGGTGTGAGGGACGGGTTGTCTTAGGGCCTCATTTTTCAGGAAGCCACAACCTGGCACTGTGCATCTGAGTAGAGCGTGGAGGGCGAAGAGACCCCACATGGGCCCACTGGCTCTTCTGTCCTCTGGAAGTCTCTTGCCCAGAGGGCGCATGAGGGGTAGTGCTTTCACTGAGGCAGGCTTCAGGCCCTGGGAAGGGACGTCCACAGCATGGTAATGAGGGCTCAGGGCCGGTTCCCACATCCCTCCGGGGAAGAGAGAGGAACTCCAAGCAAGGAAGCGTCACGTGCTTCCTGTCCCCGCCCCCGCCCCCACTCCCTGTTTAGTCCCCGGCCTCCAGCTCCCAAATCACTTTCCCAGATGCTGTGTCCTGCCTTGGCAAGAGCTCTTTTCCCCTACTGGCCAGACATCCACAGTCGCCTGCTCATTCCTCAAAGAACAGACCTTCCAGCTCCGCCTTCTCTGGCCTCCCCGCTTGTTCTGTCTCGCTCAGTTGTTTCTGGGCCTTCTCCCACCAGGCAGCCCCCCAGCATGGCCTCTTCAAAGACCCACCCCTGTGCTCACGTGGGCACCGGTACTGGCATGCCCTCCACAGCATTCCCTATATGCACCGTCCTCTGTATTTACTGACCGCTAGAACCCAGGCTGGGGCTGGCGCACCATTGGCTGAGCCCTCTCCCTGCCCACATTCAGGTAAGCAGCAAGAGGACAGCCGGCAAGAGGCAGCTAAGGTGAGAAAAGCCAGCAGGGGCTCCTGTGGCAGGTGGGCCACTGGCTGTTAGAGAAGGCATAGGCCCTGGTCAGCCCCTGGCTGTGCTATGAGAAACCCCAGCACACCCTCCGACCACATGCTTGGGAGCCCTTCCAGTCCCACAGGCCAGACAGCTATACTTGCTGCCTTGCCTTCGCCCTCGCTGTCCTTGTCGCCTTTGCCATCTCCTTGCTGTGTCGTCACGGTCTGGAGCTCAGGCCCACAGAAACGCTCAAGGAACGAGTCAGGTCTGGGCTCCTCCTCGTGGAAATTCTTGTTGGCCCACTCTCTGATGACCCCCACCAGGCAGGCAATACTAGAGAGGAGAGAAGAGAACTGCACTGTGGAGAGAGGACCTGCGCCGAGGACAGGGGGATGGCGCTCGGGTGTGACTCCCAACACAGCAGCCTGAGGGGTAAGGGGCGAGTCTGGGAAGACTTCCTGTAGGAGGTGCCGTCTCTGTCGATTGTGAAGAACAAACAGGGGGTCTCTGGGGCAAGATGGAGATGATGCTAAGGGAGGACAGGTCAGGAGGAAGGTTGGCTCAAGCTTCCTGAGTTCCCCATGGGGCCTACAACTCTGGGCTGGAGACCTGGGAGCTCTCTACCTATACCCTTCCGCTGGGAAGCATCTCTCCTCCCAACAGTGCCACAGGCAAGTCTGAAGAGAAACCTGCACTGCCACTCCGAGCCTGCTCACAGGAGCCTCCTCCCGAGAAAAAGTTGAGCTAGGACAGCGTTGACAGTACTTCCCAGAGGTCTTGATAGAGAGGCCCTGTGGGACGGAGAGGACCCCATGATCTGACAGGCCCCATGGGACGGAGGGGTTGCAGCAGGGCAGTGGTGAAACCCACCTGCGGAAGCCACCCCTCCTCTGCAGGGGGGCATCCATCTCTGCCAGCCTCTGTAGTTCTGAGGAGATGTCATCGTCGGCCGCAGACTGTGGCCTGCAGAGGAAGGAGCAGGGGTGACCAAGGGCTTGTTTGTTTCTTTGTTTTTTGTCTCCTATTAGAACTCTCCCCTCCTGGGAGATGCCTAGAAATCCCATCGTCCTTTTAGAGGCTGTCCTTGAGCCAAAGATTATTTACTCTGTGACAATGAGGCACAGTTGGGAGAAAGTCGCAGCCTCAGGGCCACCTCTGCAATGATCCAGCCTCAGCAGACTCACCTGTTGCTGGTCCTGTGGTCATCTTCGCCATTGACCTTGATGGCAGGAGGTGCATGATGGTTGTGGTTATTGGCTAGGGAGCTCTTCTCTCCATTGGCTTTTTCTGTCATCTTCCATGTACAACCAGGACTCTCACCTGCCAGGGAGAGGCCCAAGAGGGAGGTCACAGAACACCCTGGCACCCATATAAGGCGGGAGGGCCTCAGGTGAGCACTGAGAACAGAGCCAGGGCCCACTTGGCAAACCCCAGCTCCCCTGGGTATTGCTGTGGCAGTGCAGGGCAAGACCATCTGCATCGCCAGCGTGGCAGGCTCCAGGCACCCAGGAGATGCTGCTCTTCCCACCCCCATAGGCAATTTCAAAGGCAAACAGTGCTAAACTGCATGACGTGTTTCTTTTTCTTTTACCTCAGTGAACTTTATGACATATGAACTAACAGAGGTAAACCAAACCAAAAAAGAAACAGTTTAAGCCATCTTCTGTTGTCCGGCACAGGCTGAAGCTGCTGAGCACCTCCAAACTAGCCACTGCCCCCAAATTCCTGCCCTGTGGGAGGAGATGTAGCTCCTTGGCCCAAAGAAGCTGCCCCCACCCCCAGCTCTCTGCTTCTCCTCAGGTGGGAGTCCTATCTCTCACTGACTTTTTCACCAGGGGCAGTGACTCTGGGGGTCCTTCTTTTCTGCTCTGATCACATTCTCTCCGGCACCTCCAAGCTGAGGAACAAACGGTAGCCCGGTGGATGGGGCAAGGAGTGCGGAAGAGAGAAGGGAGAGCTCCCATGGGCTCTATAGGCAGTGGTCCAAACCAGGACTCTCTCCTTTGGGCTATGGGGAGCCTTGCAAGGGCTGAACAGGAGCATGACAAGGACGGCATTATATTTCAGAAAGATCCTTCTGACTGCTAGGTGGAGACTGGATTAGAGGGGAGCAAGAGGGGAGAAGTCTGGAGAAGATGGTGCCAGTGAAGCCCGAGACAAGGGGGAAGGGATTGGGCGTGTGGAGTGAGGGAGAACAAGTGGGTGAGGCCACGCAGGAAGGATCCTGGAGAACCCCAACATTTAAGAATTGAGCAGAGGAGGAGTTATCCACAAAATGGACTGAGAAGAAGCATCCTGAGAGGGAAAAATCCAGAAGAGAGACAGGAGATGGTGTTCCACCGTGTGTTTTGCATGGGGTCAGGGAGGACAGGATGGCTCTTCCCTGCTGAGGCATGCCCCACCAGATTTGGTCAGAAATGATGAGCATACCCCGCGGATTACCTACTGCTGGAGCTCATCACCCCAACCCCCTCCCCAAGCTTGTTCCAGCTTCTGAAGTCATCACCATGGCGATGGCCGGCAAGTCGGGCTCTGCAGTGAGTGGTAATAACAAGCAGCCTCAGAGCCACTCACCTGTTGCTCTCTGTGGGACTGTGGCACCAGGATGCTAATGAGGGAACCCGAGGGAGAGGAACCTGGATCGCTGAGTCCCTGCTTGGACCCTAGAGGTGGCTGACCATGGAGACAGAAAGTTCCAGGCAATGCGAACAAAGCTGGGGCCTCTTGCACTGATCAGGTTTCGGTGCTGGCCTCCTGGAAGCCTGAAGATGAAGAGGGGCTGGAACTCAGGCCCAGAGTGGAACACATTAGAGCACTGTCCAGGGGATGAATGGCAGGGGCGGAAGAGGGGCAGTGAAGGTCAAGTTCACTGCAGGTATGGAGGGGACACTGGTGTGGGAGGGTGGACCCGGACTACAGAGTGAGCTATTCTTACAGCAATAGGGCAGAGGGGTCTAAGGCCACCCAGGGAGGCTGCAAACACCAGGCCGAGGACTTGGGACAGCCTCTTGCTGATAGAGAGCCAGCGTTGGCCCTGCCTGCCACCACTTGGACCCCTCCCCTCCTTACTGATCATCCCCAATAGCAGTGGCACTGAGCCCACAAGAGGGACAGCTCTGGGGGCACATGACAACAGTTATGCCCTCGGTAAGTTTCTGGCACCAAGACAGATTCCTCTCCCATGATCCCTGCTCCTTCTCTGCCAGGAACAGGCTCTTCCCTCTGTCTGGCTGCCCTGCATGCTCTGCCACCCACATGCCCCTTCACGAGAAATGCCCCCTCAGACCTCTCACCAGGGAACAAGGGCAGGCAGCTATCCCCAGCCCGCAGGCAGCTAGGCCACTGCTTCCCATCTGCCCGTTTGCTCTGGAAACTTCATCCAGTCCCAGACCTCGCTTACCATTATGTCCCCACCCAGGCGTCTCTTCCAAGCTGCCCACCCATATCTCCAGCTGCCTGCTGGACACCTTCTTCTTTGAGGTGCCTCAAACCCAACCTACCTAAAACTGACCTTGACATTTTCACCTACAAATCAGCTTCTCCTCCAATTTCCTAACTCAGAAAGGGACCTGTCCTCTACGCAGTCACCCAAGCCAAAGACCTTCAGTCATCTGCTCCAAGCAGCCTCCGTTCTCAGTCCCCCCACAAAGTGTCAAAAATCTCCCATTCACTGCCCTCTGTCCCCAAGGCCCCGGCCTGGCCTCGAGCTTTCAGAGTCGCTCTCCAGGCCTGCTGCAGCCGACTCTGACCAGCCCAGCACTCACTGGGGTCTGGACTGGAGGGGAGACACGGACACCACCTGGGTTGCTGGCAGTTAAAGCTCTGAGAGGGGATGAGCGTCACCCCTCACCCCACCACAGCATGAGAGCAAGGCTGAGGGGAGAGTCCTGAGGAGACTGCGGAGGACAGGCCCCCAGAGACGGAGTCTCAGGGAGGGAGGAGCCTGCAGGGCCACATCAGGAGAGCAGGGCTGCCGGCAGAGGCTTACCCTTCCTCCCCCTGAGATGAGAGCTGGAGTGGCCCTGCATCGAACGCTAGGGGCCTCGCTGGTTACCTCATCAAGAGCAGCCTCAAGGAGTGCTGGTAGAGAGGTGTTTGTAGGGTTTCAGACTTCTTTTACACAAAGGAGATAGTAAAGCAAGTGGAAGGGATTTTGAGGAGGGATGGTGACAATATCTGTGCTTGTGACCAACCCCGGTTAGGGCTGCAGCTCATGAAAGATGGATAGAACGGGTGGGTCCAGGTACCAGAGTAGGTGAGAGGTGACTTATGAAGAATGCAGAGGGAAGGGGTCCCTGATGAACGGGCCAGGAAGGGAAGGAGGTGATAGGCAGACATGTTAGATGGGGGTAGGGGAACAGTGAGAGACAGGGCAAGAAGCTCACTCATGCCAATCCCCCGCATTCTCAGCAAAATGGGAGGGGGGTTCATCTTCAGAGGCATCAGGCAGTGGTAGATGCGGATCTTGCAGGAGGCCAGAAAGTTTGCAATTAAGGCACCTTAATTCTGTAAAAAGCCCAACATCAATCGTAGTGCACTTCTGGGCCTCCCTTCTCGTCGTCCACTAGTTGATCAGCCAGCCCAAGAAGGAGCAAGCTGGAACTACAACCAAGGCTCAAGCCAGAGCTGCTACCTTCCAGTCTGTGGCTCATTCTAATCTCACCGCTGCCCAGTGCTTTTAGTCATTCATCTATTCCCTGCGTATGGTCAAGGCACCTGGTGTGCACCAGGTCTCTGCAAGGTGCTGAGCTGAGAAAGATGAGTCTGGCAGAGTCTCTGACCTCAGTGTTGCTTCCAAAATAAAAGAGAAAACCAGGAACACAGTTCATCCTCAGAGTCAATTCTCTGTCCACATCTATTGTGTTTCTCGGCAGCATTTTTTTTTTTTTTTTGTGGTACGTGGGCCTCTCACTGTTGTGGCCTCTCCCGTTGTGGAGCACAGGCTCTGGACGCGCAGGCTCAGCGGCCATGGCTCACGGGCCCAGCCGCTCCACGGCACGTGGGATCTTCCCGGACCGGGGCACGAACCCGTGTCCCCTGCATCGGCAGGAGGACCCTCAACCACTGCGCCACCAGGGAAGGCCTCTCAGCAGCATTTGACACAAGTTAGGCACTCTCTCCTTCTTGAAATAATGGGTTCCATGTTCTTGGTTCTGCTCCTGCCTCAGTGGCCACTTCTTATTAGTGTCCTCTGAAGAAATCTCCTCCTTTTTCCTAATTCTAAACTTTGGAGTGTCCTGAACTCAGTGATTGAGTAGATTCCTTATCTTTTCTCTCTTTGTCACTTCTTCATCCAGTCTTCTGGCTTTAAACACATCTGTATACTGATGACTTGCAAATTATAACAACTTCCAGCCTCTCTCCTGAACTCCAGTTTGTCTCCCTGACGTTACCACTTGGATGTTGAATCTCAGGCTGAATATGTCGAAAACCGAGTACTTGATCTTCCCCTCAAAACCTTATCCTCCAGTACTCGTCAGCAACTCAACAAAGGCAATCCTGTTCTCCCAGTTAGTCAAGTCAGAAGCCAATAAGGACCTACTATATAGCACAGGGAACTCTGCTCAGTACTCTGTAATGACCTATATGGGAAAAGAATCTGAAAAAGAATGGATATATGTATATGTATACCTGAATCACTTTGCTGTACACCCGAAACTAACACAGCATTGTAAATCAACGATAATCCAATAAAATTAATTTAAAAAACCTTAGAGTCATCCTTAACTCCTCCCTTTCTTTCATACTGCCACACATTGCAAATCATGTGCTAGTAGCAATTCTGGCCATTGCAGTAGAAAAAATTCTGGGCAGCAGGCAGAGAACCGTGCCAAGGGGAGGGCTGTGCACGTCGTGGGTGGCAGGGAGGTGGGCAGGCAGGCAGACATAGACAAGGAGAGCCAAGAGGAAGCTAGAATGGGGAGTGGGGTTGTAGGGGGCAACTTCTCGTTCATTGAGCAGCTACCACTGCTGCTAACACTTGACCTAAGTTAACTCATTTCATTCTCACAAAAATCTGGCAAGGCTGATACTATTACCAGCCCCATTTTACACATTCACACCTAAGCAATCTGGCTCCACATTCAACCACAGGGCCAGCCTGGAAGGTGAACAGAGCCAGGGACTTGGGCATGAGTACCAAGAGGAGAAGTAGGTCAGCACTGCACCAGGCACAGCAGTGACCCCTTGTGCCCCAGGCCTGGAGGGACAGTTGGAAGGGGCTCTGCAGGTGGAGTGAGGGCCTGGCACTCGCTGGGCAGGCGTGGCTCCTTGATGCCAGTTCGCCTGTGGCTATCGATCACCAGCCACCTTGAGGTCAG